ACCCTCAACCAGGTGGACTGACATAGTGATTGTAACAATGAGTTTGAGGATGACAAAGATTATAAGGATGGCACAGGATAGTACAGGGCTCAGATCTTTTGTTCATAAGTCACTTACGAGTCGTACTTGACTCACTGGCATCTAGCAACAACAGCAAGATAGAGAACTGCCAGAAATTCAAGCTGGCTTTATAGCAGGCTTTAGTAGCAGGGATATCATTGTTGATGTCAACTGGATCTTGGCTGAAAGCAGAGAATACCAAAAGGATGCCTATTTTTTCTTTATTGACTATGCAAAGAGTTTGGCTGTGTGGGTCATAACAAATTATGGATAGAATTTAGAAGAATGGGAATCCCAGAACATTTAATTGTGTGAAACCTATACCTAAACTAAGAAGTTACTGACCTAACGGTTCAACGAGGAAACATCACATGGATTAAAATCAGGAAAGATAGACAATCAGGGTTGTATTATTTCTTCATACCTATTTAAACTAAATATTGAGCAAATCATTTGAGAAACGGATCATATGAAAAAGAATGTGACTTCAGCATTGAAGGAAGATTCAACATGTGTTATGCAGATGATACAATCTTGCTTGCTGAAAGTGAAGAGAATTTGAAATATTTGCTGCATAAATTCAAAGACAACACCCTTCAAGGTGCGTTACATTTCAACATCAAGAAAACAAAAATGGGTGAGCTCTGGTGGCCTTGTGGCAAGAAGCTGCACTGAAATCCCAAAGGTGAGCCGTACGAATGCACCAGATGCTCTGCTGGAGAAGGAGGGACAATCTCCTCCTGTGCCAGTCAAGTCCAATTTGATGGTACACAAATAATAATAATAATAATAATAATAATAATAATTGCCATCATCATCATCATCATCAGAAACAAAAATTCTTACCACTGGGTCAATAGGCAATATCATGTTGTTGTTGTTTACTGTAGAGTTGGAACCAACTCATAGCTGACCCTCCTGTGGGTTTTCAGAGGCAGTTAATCACACAGGAGGAGATTGTGCATCCTTCTCCAGCAGAGTGGCTGGAGGCCTTGAACAGCAATGCCTTTGGGATCGTAGCTCAGATTCTTGCCACTAGGCCACCATAATATCATTATGTTGTTGTTGTTGTTGTTAAGTGCCATTGAGTCGTAGGCAACTCATAGCGACCCTATGAAAGAAAGTTCTCAACACTTGTGTGATTTTCATCCTTTCTCCAGGTTCACAGAGTTTCCGGAGGCAAGCGATTACAGAAGTGGATGCCACTCCTGCTTCCAAACTAGTTTTGATCAGGGAGCTCCACCAAACACTGCCTGCCATGGGTAACCATTAATGCATTTGACACAGCAGTGTCACAGTTTTCAGCTTCACAGCAACCACAAGTTACCTCTGTACGGCAAGTGGACACACCAGGCCTATACGACCTAGAAGAATGTTTAACAAAAATAATGAAAAACAGGCCTGGGGGCCGCAGATTAAAAGTCACCCACCTTTGGTTTGGTAGTATCACTTTCTGTCCACTCAGCCAACTCTCTCTTTATGTTGATGTTATTGTTGTTAAGTACTGTCAAGTCGTAGGCGACTCATAAGAACCCTATGGATGATAGTCCTCAACATTTATGTGACTTTCATCCTTTCTCTGGGTTCATAGGGTTTCCAGAAGCAAGCTATTATGGAAGTAATATCACTATAGATGGAGAAAATGGTTTTGTTTTGTTTTGTTTTACAGAGGTTTTGGATTTCCATTCATTCATTGCCGCAATTTTCTCCCTTCCCACCCCTCCCCACCAG